GATCTGATGCATCTGGACCCCAACATTGAAGCCATGCCTGTGGCTCACATTGGCAGCAGGTGGCATGGAGGAGACTGGCTGGTGCTGGTGCCAGTGCTGGGTGTGTTGGCATGGGAAAGTGGATCCCCCTCTTCCACATCCCCCTTGCCTCTGCCCTTCTGCCTCCCTAACTGTTCACCAGCACCTGTGTACAGTGATCGAGGGTTTTGGTGCTTCCAGTGCACATGCTCCCCTTCACCCTTGGGTTGCACATGCCCACCAGCATGTGGACTTTACTGAACCGCGAGGGATCCAGCCATCTCCCGATGCCCTCCTTCAGCCGCCTCACCAATGCCTGCATATCTGGAGAAAGCGGCTTGCCCTAGCCAGGAACGTTGATCCCCTGGAACTTTTCCATTTGGTTGTCTAGTTCCCTCATTATGGAGATCACCTGGCTAAGGAGGGCATTGCCAGTGCTGAGGGTCTTGGTGGCCTGGAGGAAGGATTTGAGGACCACCAAGATCTGGGAGATGGTATTCCACTCAGCTCTGTTAAGGGGAGCATTGATCCTAATCTCCCTGAGCAAGGCCATCTCATGGATGGCCTTTTGTTGCTCCACCAGCCTTTCGAGCATCAGGTATGTGGAGTTCCACTGAGTCTCCACATCCTGCATGATTTTGTGGTGTGGGATGCTCAGTTCTGCCTGTTTCTCCTGCAGCATCTTGTCCCCCTTGATGCTGTGGTGAAAGTAGCTTGCCACCTGCCTGCATTTTGAAATTAGTTGGGTGGTGGTGACGACACCACCACTGGCAGCTCTGTTCCCAAGGCATCCTGCCTTATTCCCCTCCTCAGCAGGCAGAGGCACAACAACAGGAGGAACTGACTCAGCCAAGCCAGTTCCCTCCACAACCTCCTATGAGGTGCCTTTCCGACAAGGAGATGTGTCTAGGGGAACTTTTTGAGGGGTGTGGAGCACAAACTCAGATTCCTCCTCAGTCCTCAGAATGTCTTTAGCTAGGGTGCTCAGGTCCCCTGGTTCCAAATCCAGCTCCTCCTCTGGCAGTGGGAAGCTCGTGCTGGGAGATGAAATTGGGGTGGAGGAGACGGTCATTCTGCTGCTGGTGCCTATTTCTGAAGTTGGGGGAGGTGGTGCAGGGACAGGTACTGCTCCCACCTCCTTGCTTCCACTGGCAGCAGAAGACTCATGGCTGCCAGGATGCATGTGTGTTTGTGGGGGGGACTTGCAGCTCTAGCTCTCCCCCTATCCCATCTAGCCCCTCTCCTTCACCTGTCAGAAGACCTGGCACCTGCCTTTCTAGCAGTCTTCATATTAGTCTTTCCTGTGCTGGAAAATGTGTCTGTGTACGTAACTACCTAACAATATAATATATGTCTTCTTCTCTGATGTATGATTGTGTCTGACTTCTTCTGTGTTGTGATTACTGTTCTGTGTTGTGTACCTAAAATAATATCTCTTCTTCTTCTAGGACTCTGACTTCTGTGTTGTGTTAATCTGAGTCTCTGTCTGACTACTTCTGTGTTGTCTTTAGTCTCTATGTAACTAACTATAACTAATAATATGAATAACTATATATAATCTCTTGTTTTAGGAATGTCTGACTTCTGTGTTGTAATAATATCTGACTTCTATGATATTGTAACAGGTATCCGCTCCGTGGCCTGCACACCTGTTCCTGGGGTAACAGCCTGCCTTCTCTCCTGCCATGCCTTGCTGTTAATTGATGTTAATTAGTGGGAGGCTGCCCTTTTACTGCCCCAATGCCAGGGGGCGCTATCTGCAGCTCTGTTTCCTCCCCTACACCGCAGCCCATGCCTCACTGATGGAATTGACTTTGTTCAGTCTGGGCCTTGTTATAATCTGGCCCCCTTTTCCTCTCTGGGCCCTGCATGACCCGTCTTGCTCTGCTGTAACATAAATTAAAGCCGCCCGGCTAAAACATCATTCGAGTCTACCGGGGAATACTCCATCCCTCCGCAGTGTCAAACGCTGCTCCTGCAGTCAGGCTTCCCCTTTCTTCCCTGAGAGAGCTTCTTCCCCCTTGGCCACTGGCAGGGAACGGCCAACCTGGCCAGCCCCTGGGCTTTATATGGGAGCCAGACCCTGCCCCTTCTGGTCAGCTGACCTCCTCTGGTTGCCCTGGCAACCAGCAGCTGTGCTCATTACTCCCTGCTAGGGCTCTTCCCCTAGCAGTTTTCTCCCTTCTTAGGAGCAGGGCACCTAAGTGCTCTGCAACAGATGTATTTGTGTGTAATGTGTGCCTCGGTGCACAGTGATAGATCCCACATCCAGGAAAAAAACAGCTTTCTTTTTAAAAAGTGTTTGGAAAAAACACCGAAAGACAAATATAAATTGAAAGAAGTGGATTGGATAGGGATAAGTAGAGGGACTCTAGTTAGTAAGCTATATCCAATCCTTTCCAAGAACAAACAATAGCAGGAGACTGACTACATAGGAAGTCAAGCCAGTCTAGTACCTTTCAGACTCTGTTGCTCAGGCAGAAAAAGCTCACAAAAGGCACTTAAAGCCTGCAGACAGAGGCTTATATGCTGTTTTTATGTCCCTCCCCCATAGCACTGTGATTGGAAGGGGAGTCGGAAAGATCGCACTCACTGGCCAGCTAGAGATGTCAGTCTTCCCCCCCGCTCCCCCTTCCTCTTCTCGGTTTCTGTACCCCTGAAAGGCTGCCTTCCAGATCTCCAAATCTTTTCCGAATAGATTCGGAGCCTCCAAATTGATTTGGAGATTTTTTGTCTTCTCTCGATTTGATTCCGATTCGGAGATTCGGCCTCTGAATCGGACCAAAGCTTTGCATAGCCCTATTTGGCAGCCACAGACAGACAAGGGTCCCCATGTAGGAGCTGGGGCTGATGTACCTACTGTTTCAAGAGCCCAAAGCAAGTGTGGAAAGGTCCCTGATAAGGAATGCATGGAATGTTTGTGGCATTCATCACTTATGATTACACTGGCATGACTTGGTGATGACTTGGGGTGAGCACCTGCAGCTGGGGCTGCTCCCACAGTTGCTGGTGGGGGCCTAAGAACAGAAGCTGACATGGCAGCTCAAAAAATAGAGGTGGGGTTATGTGGCAAGACAAGCTATCTCTGCTCATGCCTTCCATCTGGCATCTTGACCATGCTGTGAGCAGTGCTCTGTCAGTCTCAACAGCCCCAGCTGGTCTTCTCTCCCAGCCTACCAGATCACCCCCCCGCCCCAGCCTTCCACATTGTGAGACTCTCAGTACTTTTTCTCTATTCCTCAAAGTGGTCAAATGCATGTTCCATAGTTGTCCAGCAACTGTTTAGCCAGTATTTGAGGCCAGTATCCCAGCAGCCAGTTATCCAGTCATGGGATAAAGCAATAAAGCTTCACGGGCCACCAGATGAGCAGGTCAGCCTGATTCTTGAGCAGGGCAGAAATAGTAGCTCTGCCTTTCAGTTATATGGTGGGAGCACTGGGGGATAAATGTTCCCTGCATTATCAGGGACACAAAATAGAATTTCTGAAGACTGGCATTGTAAACCTTGCCTGGCCATTCAGTGGTCCCCAATGCCCTGCACCATAATAGAGAAGTTGCCCTAGTAGTGGATGTGTGCTAAGCTGCAATATGCCAGGAGTGAGAATGTGGGTATCATCAGTGACCCCAATGCAGTTTGGAAATCTTATCCAGGCAAATCTAGTTGTTGACCACCTGTGGGCTAGTCCTGAAGCAGAGGAAGTGTGGTGCCAGCATGCTTGGAAGAGTCCTGATGTCCTAGAATAGTAAGGTAAATATGGCCAGGCAGGCAAAAGCTATCTCCTATGAGTATGAGAGCAGAGCTAGCATCTTGTTGTTTCTCTGTAAGACTGTAGGACAAGGTATCTCTAACGGTCCAGTTTCTGCTCCTACTGAGAAGACGATGCATGTGAAACTGAACATCCTTCCCAAGATGAAGTGGACCAGCCCTACAATGACAGGAAGCACCAAACAGACAACTGGAGATGAAATACCCATAAGGCTCTGCCATTTGCATTCTTCTATCCTTGGAAGCCTCTGCGGAATCCTGACCAAGAAGCATACTGTGGTGCCTGCTCACTAGCCCCTCTAGCTGTGGAGCAGCACACTGATATTGGCTACAGTACGCAATAAAACACTTTACCTGGGACAGGCCCATATGCTTGCTCAGTACTGTAGCGTTGCAAAGTGTGGTGGTATTCAAAGTGCTTCATATGTATATGTCTGTACCCTTAGTGTTTTGCATAATTTTTGCTATTTGGTACTAAAGTGATGAGAACATAACTCCATAGTGGAGGATGAAGAAGGTATAATTTGTGTTGGACAGAGGCCTGTAAAGCGAGTCATGTTTCATGATGAGAGAAGAAATTAAAACGGTCATGGAAGTAATTAGTGTCTTCCTTGAAATATACAAAAAAGACTAAGGGTGGAGTTTGAAAACGGTAGTGCAAGTAGTTTGAAATTATATAAGATCATTGATACAAACGTAAATTACAAGGTGGGATCTTCCTCTGTATGAGAGAAACCTGAATTATCCCAGAATGAATTTTTCCCTTAATGTTTATTTTGGAAGGCAACATCAGTACCTCAAATTAAGACCCAGTTATTTAAATTGCTTTTGTAGTGGATTGTCCTAGCCAGGGATTTTATCTTATTTGTTAGCGTTTGATAGCCTGTCTGCTTTTAGTTCATGATCAGCCACCAAATTAATCGGGAGGCTTGCTTAAGAATTGAGCAAAGATCTGAGTAATTGATAGGCTTCTACAGGCTCTGTAATAGGTACATAAGTAACTTGGAGAATATGTATGCTTCTATGAAGTGTGTGTCTTATTAGGTGGCCAAATGAATAAATCTGGAAGCTGTGGTAAACATTACATTGAGAAAGATAGCATCCAATGTGATCTCTCATGGTTATAACATTTTAATATAAAAATGCATAGCAACTATTAATATGGCCTATATGCTGTTATGAATTAAATATTCAGTGAAACTGTTTTTACTTTCAGGTGACAATTGGAATTTATGATCCAGGCAATTTTGTCCAGTATCCAGGATGGCCGCTTAGAAATATACTGGTCCTGGTAGCCCAGAGATGGTACTTGTTTGTTTATCTTCTTTTTTTTTTTTTTTTTTTTTTCAACACCACTTGACATGTGCAACCCACCTCAGCCCTAACTTTGTTCCCTGAAGCATACAGAATTAACTGAAAAAGTCAAAATGCGGAAAATTTCCAAGAACTTGTTGGGAAAGGTTCTCTGTAAATAAGAGGCAAGATTTCTCAGTTGTGTATGGGAACTTATTTTTACCTTCCTGCACTCCCTCTTCCCCCCTACCCATCCCCCCTGATTTTAGTGAGTGAAGAAAAGCCAGCTCTAACTGCCAGATAATCATGTGCTGCTCAGAGTCATCCTTCCTCCCCATTTTTATTGGTTTGTTTCCAGACTTATTGCCTGTGCTTAAACTTCCTCACTTTGAAATTCCCTCAAAATAGAACTTCACCTGCTACTATTTTGCTTGTAGTACAGACTTATTCCTGAGAAGTACAGTGTGTGTCAGAGAGGATTTTTTTTGAGGAATTTGCAGGATTTTTAAAACTGAGTTTAAACTAATGAGCAGCAACTTCCACTTCAGAATGCTGTAAGCTTTTGCATGACCTGGAAGCAGTTTGTGCTCTGGATTCTTGTATTCATATAGGAAAGACTTGATAAGAATGCATGTGCTATTGAGAGCTGTCTCACTTCATAGAATAAAATTTCTGAGTGACAGAGACTCTGGAGAAGTCCTTCTGACATGGTTCTGCCTGTACCTTGCTGAATATTTGGGGCTTTTTAATTTGACACATTGTCTTTGTATGACAAAAAATATCCACCTAACACTGGGTTGTTTTTGCTAAAGCTTATCTTGCCAACTTCATATTTTTGCTTGAATGCTTTAATAATAGATGCAGTGAGAAAACAAACCTTCATCTTGGTACACTAACTGTATTTTTCCAGTATGTGTGGCTAGAACATATTTGTGCCTGTCATGCAGTACGGCAATCACAAATATTGTTCCCTTCACACCTAATTCTTTGTCTTTAGAGGTCAGTAATAAAGAAATAATGAATAATGGGGGTCAGAGGCATAACTGAGCCCTTGAGTGCCCTGAGCAGCAGCTGTGCATAGGGCAGTGTCAGCGGCCATGCAGTGCCAAGGTGGCAATGCTGGAAGTGCAGGTTCTGCTTTCTTGGTGCCTCACTCCTCCAGGGTTTGACCTGGGACTGGTGCTTCAGTCACCCCACCTTTATTAAGTTGGGGGTGGAGCTAAGAGGGTAAGAGGGATAAAAAAAAAAAAAAACCCTATCAGAACAGGGACCTTGAGAAGCATACCAAGTCTAGAGGAAGTAGGACAGCAAGTTGTGATGATCTGACAATTTAACTTTGTTTAAATGGTACTCTGGGGCTTGTCTTGTGTTTTGTGGCTTGAGATACAGTGTAACTAGCACTAAGTATCTTATGCAGACTGTGGCATTAAACATTGAGGCTGCATTCTGGACTTCTCTAGTGTAGGTGAACCACAGGATATTTGATCATGCTGATATATGGGGGATTTGGGGGTTTCTTTATGGCTGTTGGCTGTTTACACACTTTATTACATGGGACTCATACTACTAGAAAATTGGTGATATTCAGAGTCTCTAAAGGATTACAGCTATATCAAACTAGAGGACTATTAAAATAAAGTTCCTGCTTAACTGCTCCTCTTCTCTCCCTTGGAGAAATTCTATATCACTTATAACTTCCTTGCTTTTTTAATGCCAGGGGTAGTCATCTCCATTCAATTGAAGTGCTCTGCTTCAGAGACAGGACCATGCAAGGGGTAAGAGATGTAACGCACAGTATCCTCTTTGAAATAAAGCTTTCACAGCTGGCGCTGAGTCCAGGTAATCCACTTTTAGCAATTTCAGAATTACTTGACTTGCTTCTCTATAATTACTTTAGAGATAAAAGGATTAATGCTGCTAAATCATTGCATATGTTAGCACCTGCCTCAGCTATAGTGCATCTTAAATTATTCAGGTGTCTCTATAAAGAAAATAGGTTTATCTTCCAGAAAGCGGATGTGTTTCCTTGAATAAAAATTAATTTTCTCTCATCTCAATACCTTTCTGCATTTACTTTTATTGTAGGAATAATGTGACTTGTAGTATCTGTTACAGCTCATACATAATCTGTAGTATCTTGCATTATTACATGCTTAATCTCTATATTGTCACAGATATGCTTGATCGTTTTAATTACATGAAACAAGATTCTCATAGGAGCAGAGGGTAGATTTATAAAACTATAAACATCTCACTTGTTATGTGAGTTGGGAAATTGGATGTATATTTCATGATGGTGTTAACATTTGAAGGAATTTACAACACACTTGTAAACTGAGAGCACCTTGGTGGATGTTGATAACATTTCATCACAATATAGCTCCTTTCCTAGAAGGAGCTCTGTACTTAACAAATAATAGTTAGGCAAAAGCCACAATTGCCACATATCATTCTACTCACTTTACAGACAGAAACATGGAGACATGGGGAGGTGATGATCACTTAACACACAATTTTGCAGATAATTATATACTATAAGTTTTTAGTTGTTTGCAGTATTGAGGCTTGGATGTTCTGACTTTTATTCCTTTTTCTCACTGTGAGGATTGAATTGTGTTGTTTATTACTTATAATAATCCTGAGAGAGATCAGCATGGATATATAAAAAGATTAATTAATAGGCTTGCATGTGTGGTCACAATAAATCGCATATAATCACTCCTAATAAAGTCAACCACACATATGTATTCTTGTAACCTTTCTCTTTCCCCTTCATGTGCGTCTCTGTCTGAAAAGTGCTGGGCATGGTTTGTTTGGGTGCAATATGCTAAAAGTAGAGCATCTACAGATAATAATACTTAAATATTATTAGGGCTGTCAGTTAATGGCAGTTAACATACGTGATTAATGCAAAACAAATTAAGGTGTTAATTTTTGTAACGAATGTTAATTGCACACATCCATTTTGAGCAGGGGTGGGCAAAATGTGGCCCGCCCCACATCCTCTCCAGACTTGACCCAGCAGAGCGGATGAGCTCTGGACCAGCCAGAATCCACACACACAGCCCTGACCCCACCCCACCCCACCCCAGGCCTGCTCTGAACCGCCTGGCCATGCTGAGCAGTGGCAGCAGCGACAGCAGCTGCTGCTTGGTGTGAGGGAAAAGCGGCCCCTCCCCTTTGCCGGGCCCTTCTTGCTGCGACCGCCCAGAGCCTGTGCCTGGGCTGCCTTGTTGCTTCTTTCCACTACCATCACTGCTGCCTACAGGCCACCCAGTGGCAGTGCAAAGGAGTTGCAGGGCAACCTGGGCATGGGCTCTGGGCAGGTGGAGCCAGAAGGGCCCGACAGCAGCAAGAGGGAGGGGCAGGTTTTCCCCCTCATTGAGCAGCAGCTTTGGGTGCAATCTGCTAAAAGTAGAGCATCTACAGATAATAATATGGGTGCCGCTGCTGCTCAGCATGGGCAGGTGTGTCTCTGAGCAGGTGCAGGGTGGTCCAGGGTCAGGGTTGTTTGCATGGGTTCTGGCCGGTCTGCTCTGACCAGTGTGAGTTCAGAGCAGGCGTGGGGCAGGCTGGAGTCAGGGCTGGGACTGTGTGGGCTGGGGGAGGAACCACAGGGTGCATGGGCTCCAGGCTGTTGGGGGTGGGGGGGGGGGGGGCTGATTTTTTTAACTCTGAAATCAAAATTGCGACTTTTTTTTTTTACACTTGCAATTAATTGTGATTAATTTTGCAATTGTTTGTCAGCTCTAAATATTATATTGGATTTTAATCTGAAATTTATAAATTGCATGTGTTTGGAGAGCAGGCTGATTGTTGCCCTCTTGAGGGAACCTGAAATTCTGCTGTGCCCTGCCAAGTGGTGTTCTTAAGAAGCTTACATATCCAGATATCTGGGGGCTGAAGGGTTAATTCCCAGGGGATGCCAGAGGGTCAATTAGCTTTGATTAAGCTAATCAAATGTGGCTGAGTCTACTTAGGTTCAGCATCTAGATACCCAGTCTAGATGAAGAAAACATATTTTAGCTAAAACTTCTAAAGTGGCGTGTTGTAAAGCACAGCATTCTGAAAGTGCCACTCACTGCCAAATTTTAGCCATATGTTGTTATGAAGAGCTGTATTTCTTAACATTCTGAGTTAATTTAGAGTTTCAGAAAAATGTTGGCAGGCTAAAATTAATTTTGTGTGTTTGTTTTAACAAGTAGATTGTCCAAAAGCTGTTGGATGGGAGAAGAACCAAAAAGGAGGCATGGGTCCAAGAATGGTGAATCTTAGTGAATGCATGGATCCTAAAAGGTGTGTGGTGATTTAAACCTTTTATAAGATAGGCAGGTCTCTGCTATATCGGACTGCAGGTGAAATAGATGAAGTGAACAATGTGCCTCTCAGATGGTTGTCTAGTGAGAAAATGTTGTTGCAATAATATTAGTGCCCAGTCCTGGCCTCAGTTATTACCATGTGCCATACATACTCCCCTGAAAGGTCCAATTGAAGATAATGGGACTTCTCAGTAAAAAGCCCTTACAACCAGAAATAAGTACTTGCAAGGTAAGGTACTACATTAAAGTTCAAATTGGTTATTTTTCAAAATTAAGCCGAAGGCAAGCTGTTGTCCATGTTCTTATTGTTCTTCATAATTTTTAAACATAGCATTACTGATGAAGACACTTAAAGTTATGTCCCCAGTTACTGCACTGACCGGAAATAAAGCCAGGGCAGCCAGTATAGAGAATGTGCTATTGGTAAATTTCATGACTTAAATTCAGGTTTTGTTTAGGTTTTGTATCTTTGAGGTGCAGAGAGCCTCCATGATGGGCTGAATGCCTTCAACTTCCACTGAAATCAGTGGAATCTTAGAGTGCTCAGTACCTTGTAGCATCAAATCCTTATTGAATTAATTTTATTTTTTTGCGTAAAAATGTCCATTCTTTCTTCCTCTGAGGTATACAGGTAAATAGTATTGTTTCAAGCCATTCCTTAGAAAGGTGTGTGTTTAAGAGAGAGCCATATATAATGCAGATCAAATTCCTTTTGCTGAAATCAAAATCAAATTTAAGATGGGAAGCAGAGAGACATTTTAAATGAAGAATCAGCTTTAAGGAGAGCTGACTTCTCCAGGTGAAAAAAGCTCCTATATTTGTCTCCTCCGTGGACAAACTGCAGCGATCTGATCTGACCAGTGCTTTAGAGGGATACTTACAGACTGTAAAATGCAATATCAGTCTGCAAATGAAAACTGATTGCCTGCTTTGCTATCTTTTGCAAAGCTGCCATGCAACAAATGACACTGCTCTTTGCAGGTGTATATAATAAAGTGTGTGGGGGATTGGGGTGGCATACTGCTTGGAACAAGGAGAAGATTTGTACAAGCTAGAAAGCTAGGGTGGCAAATGATATGCATCTTTTATCTGGCAGTGACATTGAAAGGAAAACTGGCCTCTTAGAAAATTCATTATCAAGAGTGCTCTTGCTTTGTTTTTAACTTCACAGGTTAGCTGAGTCGTCAGTAGATCTTAATCTCAAACTGATGTGCTGGCGGCTGGTGCCTACACTGGACTTGGAGAAGGTTGTATCTGCTAAGTGTCTGCTGCTTGGAGCTGGTACGCTCGGGTGTAGCGTTGCCAGAACTTTAATGGTAAGTTCCAATTGAATCATAAAGATGGGCTGATGTTTCATACATGTTTTCTAGCCCTGTGCTTAAGTATCCAATGAAATCAACATATATGAGCTACTCGAAACTTAGCCTTCCCCAGAATAACTTGCAATTCTGTAAATGTGATAGCATAACAAAAAAAGATAATGTGCTCTTCAAGTTGCATTTTTGGAAAAGACTGAACTGGAGAGTCCTCAAAAAAAAAAAAAAAAAAAAGCAAACAAGGCCAAATTGAAAATACTTGACATTACAGTTTTATACTTATACAAGATTTGCCTTCAAGGGGCCCTGGCAGATATTACATAAAATGTAGAACAACTTGCCCAATGCAGGGTGGCACTATGTGCAGCTTTCAGTTTGCTAGTGCACAGGGAGCCCAAGATCATGTGCTGGTTGCCTTTGGGATCTGATCCCCAAAATTGTGCACCCTGCAGGGCACATGTGGCCAAGGGCATCTGGTTTATCATATCCAAGTCAACAGGGGTAGAAAGGTTGCCTCTGGCAGCATAATTTAATCTATTGATACATATTACTCTTTTCTAGTTGTAGTTATCAAAATGGGATGATTTGGATAAGTGTGATCCTGTCTTGGCCAGGGGCTTGTACTAGATCAACGGGGAACAACTGTTTTTGCAGGCGTGCCACAAATTAATCAGGCATGCACCCCAAGTGCCACTCAGATCTTTCTGCCCAATCTACTGCTCTTCCTTCTGCTTCCTCTCCTGTGTTCCCTGCTCAATGTGCAGCTCTGCTGTCTGCTTCCTGCCCTACCTGCCACTGTGGCTGTCCTCTCCCTAATTTGCCACGTGCCACATGCGGTTGTTGCCTGTGCCACTTGTGGCATACATGCCACAAGTTGGCTAGCTCTGGATTAAATGAACTCCCAAGGTCTCTTCCAACCCTTTTTTTCCATTATATGATTCTATGAAAATATTTTTGCCATAATTTGCTTCTAAAACTAATAGCTCAAGCATTTTGTTTTAACTTTTAGTGCAGTTAAAAATCAAATATACTTACCAACCAGTGGTTCTCAACCTTTTTGGAATCAAGGCACACCTCGGAAATTGATAGCTCTTAGTTTTCATTCATTTTTCGACTGCGAAAAAAAAGAATGGAGTAGTTTTTCTGTTGCAAAGACCTCGGAGAATGTTTATATACATGCTCCAGAAGTGGAGGGAGAGGGGAAAACTTTAATTAGAGTGGCTCCAAGAGCTGCTGTAATTAAAGCGCTCGGAACATCATGTATATCAGTGTCCCTGTGCTGAAAAATGGCAGTGGAGCTCTTTAACTGAAGTTCATTTGATGAGCTTTAGTTAGTGCCCCTGCCACCGTTTTTCAGCTCCGGGACACTGATGTACGTGACACTGGAGTCTGCTGGAGTGTAGTAATTACCATGCTCCTGCAGACTTGATTAATTACAGCGCATCAGAACAGCCTTGCTGCACAAGTATAGCTGCCCAGAAAGTCCACAATGGATAAGAATGTTTCTAACACTATGGATTATTAGCTGATACCAATGGATTTATTCTGTGAATCATGTTTGTACAGTGCTAACATTGTGTAGCACCCTGTGGCACCTTTGAAAAGATCTCAAGGAACCTGAGGGTGCTGCAGCATCCTGGTTGAGAATCACTGATCTAGACTGAAAGGTGCTTGTTAGTTGTTTGTTGTCTTGTGTTGTTAAGATGTTACCAGTTCTCTGTATTTCTCTCCCCCTTTGCTTAGGGCTGGGGAGTCAGGAAGATTACATTTGTTGACAATGCAAACATTTCCTATTCCAATCCTGTACGACAGCCATTATACGAGTTTGAAGACTGTCTCAGTGGTGGGAAGCCTAAAGCACTTGCAGCAGCAGACAGACTACAAAAAATATTCCCAGGAGTGGTAAGTCAAATATTTTGGAAGTGTGAGTAAACATTGTGACAGAATATAGTGAGAATACAACTAGTTTTTGTTAGACCCAGACTCCACGCATCGCCCAACGACTAGGGAGACGACGATCCAATCACTCATGAATCCTGTTACTTATTAACCAGAGCAGACAGGGAGCAAACGCTACTTGCACACATTGCTTGCAATATTTTTTTCCCATATTTATACACTTTGGTTCATGCTCATTACCATTCATTCTACCCTCGCCCTTCCTATGTTCCACCCAGCTCTCTTCCATCTCAAGCTCTGCCTCTGTTTACTGTTTGTTTTATTAACATGGAGTTGCCTATGCATTTAATTCATTTACATGTCTTTTTGCTATTGAGCACGTCTAAGACCTTGACTCCTGCTCTTCGGTCAATGGGCAGACTTTGACCAAAACTTGGAGGCTTCTTCACCAATCACCTTTTTGCATCTGTTCATCTCAGATTCTGTTACCAATTACGTGTTGTTTTCCACATTCCAGTCTGTTTTTCCGTCTCAGGTTGTACCATCTTCCACCCTTTTTGGGCCCCTGTATCTTATCTCGTTCCTTGCTGTAGCTGGTTCATAGCACACAGGCTTATTTGCTGATTTTTTTAAAGAAAAATGGTTAACCCAGTTAAGATGGTTACTTAGCATAAGGAAATGGCTGGCTTAGCTATTATTCTGCCTTGTGGTCAGCAGCTCTGCTAGGCCATAGGTCATGCCTTTATTCAGCTGCAAATCCAGTGCTCCTCAAGATCTAAATATTGTCACCTTAACAGCTTTAAATAGCTCCATAGGTTTCACAGAAGTTCAGGGCTGGAAGGGACCTTGTGAGATCATTGGGTCTAGTCCCCCTGTTCTGGGCAGGAAAGATTGCTGGGGTTAAATAACCCCAGCAAGGTGTGAATCCAGTCTTCTGTTGAAGATCTCCAGGGTAGTTGTCTGTAGCAACCCCACTGGGAGTCTTTTCCAGAGCCTGGTCACACAAACCATGAAGAAATTTTAGCTTATATCCAGTATGAAACCTTCTTCTAGGAGTTTATGACCATTGCTTCTGTCTGGCCCCTGGGGCACTTGGGTGAATAGTTGTTCACCTAGCCCCTGATGCTCTCCCCTGAGACATTTGTAAGCTGCCACCAAATCCCCACAAAGTCTTTTCTTTTTCCGGGCTGAGCAGTCCCGTATCTGTCAGCCTTTCCTCATATGGCTTGCTCTTCAGGCCTCTGATCATATGAGTGGCTTTTCTGTGGACTCTCTCAAGCTTCTCCACATCCTTCTGGATGCAGTACTCCAGCTGCAGCTTCACCAATGTTGAGTAGAGTGGGAGAATAACTTATTTTGCTCATGCTTAAAGAGAGAGGACAGAAAAATAAAACGCCACAAAACAAACTACTGTACAGAATAGCAAACTATTGCAGCCATTTCCACATGCAGGTAGTTAAATATACCTATAGCAATAAAATATGCACTAAAACAAGTAGCTGAGAATCTCAACTTCAGCTCTCTTACAACTTGCCAAACCAGCGATATTGTCCAGTTTCTCTTCTTTGGTGTGTTTTGTGTTCTCAGAAATGGTTGGTTATGGAACAGTTCCCCAGTTTTAAAGTATTTAAAGGCTCTAAGCATTCCGTACAGTTTTTAGGATCCAGCCACAGACCCTTCCAGAGTCATATGTAAACAGTTTTTAGTGTTCTGTTGCATACTCACTTAATTTGTATTGCATTTTGAGACAATTGCACAAATAAAAGCCATCTCGCTTATCGCCCAGATCTATCTCCTTTTACTGTCTGAGAGCTTCTTTTGCCAGACTTCCAAGTAATCACTTTGCTGGCATTATCATTATTGGCTAGATGGTTTTCAGCAAGGACTGCATTACATTTTCTCAAGTGTAAATAGGGCTACTGCTTTTGTCCCTCTGTTGTCTTATTTTCAGCCTGTTGAAAAGCCTGAAAATTACTATTGATACTGTCTGTTCTGAAAACACAAATTGAAAGCATTATACATAGAAGATAATCTAAAAAGGCGAGTAGTATTTTATATGTTGTGCTTGGCAGAAGTGTTGAACTCTTAATAAATATAATTAATGCCAGATGAGCTTCATCCCAGGGTCCTGAAGGAACTGGCAGCATAGATCTTGGCCCTTGTCAGTGATTTTCATGAAGTCATAGGAGACAGGCCCAGGTACCAGAGGACTAGAAAAGGGCCAGTGTAATGCCCCTTTTTGTAAATGGCAGGAAAGAGGACCTGGGGAACTACAAACTGGTCAGCCTCATCTCAATACCTGGGAAATTACTGGAGCATGTCATAAGGAAGCAAGCATCTGGAGGAGTAAAGGCTGATCACAAGCAGCCAGCATGGATTTATGAAAAACAATTAGTGTCAAACAAAACTGACTTCCTTCTTTGACAAAGTAACTATTTGTGTGGATGAAGGGAATGGTGTGGTTATAGTGTATCTGGACTTCAGGAAGGCTTTTAAAAAGGTCATATATGAGCTTATCGTAAACAAATTGGAGAAATGTGGACTGGAGAAAACTACTACAAGGTGGATAGATAAACTGGGTCAATAGCCTTATGGCATAGGGTCATTTTTAATAGGTCCATATCAGAACGGCAGGAGGTTTTGAGTGGATTCCCGCAGGGGTCTGTCCTGGGTCTGGTGGTATTCAACACATTTATTAACCATTTGGATGCTGGCATAGAAAGCTTCTTGAGGAAGTTTGTGGATGACGTGAAACTGGGAAGGATTGTGAACATGGAGGATGTGAGCACAGTTCAGAAGGATCTCAACAGATTGGAAAGTTGGGCTAGAGGTAACAGGATGAAATTTAATGTGGACAGATGCAAGGTGCTACACCTTTGGAGGAATAATCAAAAACACAACTACAAAATGGCCCAGCTTAGCCATATGAAGGAGCCTTCCAGGTCCGGACAGTGATGGCACAATCGCAGCAGGAGGTGCAGGGAGCCCAACACCCTGCCCAGGCCACACTGCTGCAGGGGGTGCCGGACATGCCCACTCACTGCAGGGCCGGAAGACTTGCTGCTGCAGTGGGAGGGCTCCACCTGATCTCTGGGGGGCGGGGCGGGGGGCAGCACCTCCCTCCCTTCCTCCCCAACACAGTGGGGATCCAGGCACAGGAGAGGTCTGCAGCCCCAGCCCCTTCCTATGTGGGGGAAGGGAAGCCATTGCTCTGCAGCTGGGAAGCCCCCCTAGTGGGTTGGCTGTGCCTGCTGGCCCCTACCCATGCCTCCCTACCAGCAGCCTGGAGCCTGCACATGATGCATGGTAAAGATGTAAGGGGTGGGGGCCATTCCCACTGGAGGTCACTAAATGATAAGCAGTAAACAATATAAATATAATTGTTGTTTAACCATTTACATCTCTACTGAGAACTTCAACTGGGGTGTGCTACGGGTCTCCTGCTAGGACAGGGGTGGGCAAAATGTGGCCCGCGGGCTTTATGCAGCCCGCCAGGCCAGTCTATCCAGCCCACGGGGCCCCTAAAAAATTTAGAAAATTAATATTGATCTGCCCCTGGCTGCCTGTCATGTGGCCCTCGATGGCTTGCCAAAACTCAGTAAGTGGCCCTCCGCCTGAAATAATTGTCTGCCCCTGTGCTAGGAGCAGTGTCAGGTTCCAGGCGAGAGGGTCTTGCCCCTCCGCTCAGGGTCAGACTGATTGCCATATTTGGGGTCAGGAAGAAATTTTGCTCTATGGACTGTGATTGGTATGGAGTGTGGGGGGGGTTGACTTCCTGTGCAGCGGGATGTATCACCCTCTACCCAAGACCACTTGAGCATATATTGACAACATGTTACAGAAGCAGGATATTGGCTGCCATTATTCCCTTGCTTTACCGGTGGTAGGCTAAGGTATTAGGTCTATGTTGTGTCAGGGTTGAGGGTAGTTTTCTGTAAAGCTTAGATTATGGTTGTATGGAATAGCTTGGATAGGGGTGATCCTGTGTCAGGCAGGGGTTTGGACTAGATGACATCTGGACATGGACAATTGGTGCCACCTAAGTCAGTCAGCTTGTAATGGGGAAAGGAAGCGTAAGAAGATTGGGGTATGCGATTACTGAGATAAAGGGCAGTATCTCTAACTGCAATGTTTGTATAAGAAATATTGTTCAATAACATTTTTATCATTTTTGAGGCAAATCCTTTCATCTTTATTTGTTGTTGCTGCCTTTAGATTGAAACAACCTAGTGTTGTAGGGATCACTGTAATAGAACATAGATTATTCAAAATGCACAATATTATAGTTCAGCTTTGGAACTGCTTGCTTGTAAAATTGAAAATGTTCGCATCTTGATTGATTTTCTTTACCATTAGAAATAGTTAACTAGGCTAATTATTTGTGGCAATAAGTAATGGTTATGAACCAAGTTTTTATCAAAATCCAATGCAGAATGTTTTGGGGTATGAGATTTTCTTGTATGTTTTTGTCCTTTTAATTTTAGTGTTTCTCCAGAAATGGAAAATCACATGACTATAGGAAAAGGATCTATCCTTGGCAATGCAGGCCTGATGACCATTAGCAACACTTCTTTTTGTGCTCCTGGAAATAGTAATTTTGTAATAAGCTATACAAAGATAACAAGATGTGGGAGAAAAATTTCTGACTAAATCTTCCCAAGAAGCATCAGGAAAAGAAGGATCCAGTGGCTGTTCTCACAGTCTCTTGCTCATTGTTTAGTCCATAGGGATAAATTCGCTAAGCTGACAGGCTGTGTTGGAAAGTGGGATTTATTTTTAAATAACCTGAGATTTGATGAGAAACCACTGCCAGTGCAGTCTTCCAGTTGAGGAAAAGGTGGCTGTGTGAGAGAAGTTTCAAATAGCTAAGCATTAGGGCTGCGTGAGGCTTCAGATCCAGAGAAGCTTTGGACGCTTCAGTGTCCGAAGTGACATGTCTGGATCAAAGAACTGGCTTTGTTAGGCTTTCCGAAGTGGTTCAGAGCTTCTGAAACGCTTTGGAA